AAGTGCCCAAGGCGGGTTTAGGGCAAGCAGGTGTTCGGTCGTTATGGCTGCCAAAAGGGAAGCTGGTCCCTTCATTATGAGCTATAAACATATTTGTGTGGTTGGTTTGGTAACTTAAGGCCTAGGAGAGAATTTGTCAAGGTGACAGAAGTGTTACTGTTACAGGGAGCCCACTAGAGAAAAGTCTGACACAATTTATAGCCAATTGATTTATCCACAACAACATAAGCTGGGGAAGTAACAACATGAGCTGGAGCTGGGTGTGGTGGTGCACACTTTTAATCCCAACACCTGGGATACATGAACTGACAGATCTCTGAGTTTGAGGCCAACCTGATCTACAAAGCAAGTACCAGGACAACTAGGGCTACACAGAGGAAAGCCTATCTTGGATGCACCCACACACTCCTACCCCCCACCCCCTTACCCCCCACCTCAAAGAACATGAGCTGATTGCACACACACACACACACACACACACACACACACACACACACACACAAAGAATATATGAGCTGATTGAAACTCAGTTCTTCTGGAAGCAACAGCCTTGCCTGTTTTTAAAACATTACAATAATAAGGGGGCTGAAGAGATGGCTCAGAGATTAAAAGCTCTTCCTGAGGTCCTGAGTAACCAGCAACCACATGGTGGCTCACAACCATCTATAATGAGATCTGGTGCCCTCTTCTGGCATGCAGTCACACATGCAGGCAGAACACTGTATACTTAGTAAAACCTTTAAAAACAAAACAAAACACATTATAATTGATAGAGGTAGACCCACCTGGATTATTCAAACTCTTTCCTACACAAAGTGACTGTTTAAGGCTTTCATTATGACTTTGTGGCAACACTTAGTGTTTGACTGAATAACGAAGGAATATAGGCAAACCAAGTTCACACATCAAAAACTATACAATCAACTATCCATTCCCCCACACCAGTCTTAACGTTGTCCTCACTCACTCAACCTGCTGTTCTTTATACCTTTTTGCTACTTGAAGTTTATTAGTCTTTTTTCTGTTATAGCAGTTTTTCTTACTTGGGGCAGTTGTAGATATTTTGCTCATCTCATACCAGGAAGCCACCTTGACTTCCCTGCAGCAATGGACTGTAACATAGAATTGTTAGCCATATAAACCCTTTCTCCCTTTAGTTTTAATATATTATCACAGCAATAGGGGAAAACCAAAAAATGTTCTTTTCCAGGAAATTTGGGAGTCAAGTTCTAGATGTTAAAGAAAGGTTTTTATATTTTTTGTTTCAGATTCAGTTTCAAGGTCTTCTTAGCTTTTGGGTTTTGAGTTCTCAGAGTTCTCTTATGTCTAAGCAGGAGCTGGAATACCTAACTAATAACAGTGCTTAGAAATTAAACAAAAAAGGGGCACATGTTCTATAAGCATGTATCTGTATATATGCCATAAATAGTAGTTCTGGTTTTTATTCAATACCCATGACTCTACCTTAGACCTCATGTTACAGGAATCCTTATTTCTAAATTGTAACATTCTAAAAATTTATGTTCTGTAGACAATTCTGTTTCTTAACACCATCAACTCCCTAATCATTCCTGTATCAATATTGCAGTCCTATGACATCTTTTCTTTGTATTGGTCTGTATTTATACTATACAGATTTATGACCATCTGTTTTAACATTCTCCTAAACACTAGGGCAGTATAAACTGGCCCTTGATTATTTACTTCATCTACTTAGCAAGATACGAACCTTAGTTTCTCCCAATACTGGTGATTATTCCCATTCTATTTATTTTTTAAGATTTATTTTTATGATTTCCCACCTACACTTAGGTATGTGTGTTGCTATGTGATTGCAGTGCCTGTGGAGGACATTGGATGTCCTAAAACTGGAGTTACAGATGGTTGGGAGTCACCACCATATGGGTGCTGGGAAACAAACCAAGGTCCTTTGCAAAAGCACACTCAACCAGTTCTCAAGTCCTTCATTTTCTTTTAGCAAACATTGAAAAATAGTTTAAACCTCATATCTTAAGGAAGTCAATAAAACAAACACAATTTGGTTTCTTTAGTTGTCAACAAAAATCCCTATGTACATGATGTAGAAGCAAAACTCCATAGACGAAGTGACTATATCCCTAGTCCAAATCAGTACTAGTCAAAGGACATGAAAACTTAGTGGATGTACACTTAAAAGCTAGGAAGCATGTTTTTGGGAAAAAAAATCAGATAATCATCACTTGGAAAGTTGAGCAAAAGTGATTTTTGGAGCTTGGGTTTTGGTGCGTCTTAAGGTCTGTGTGGCTTTAGGAAACCATGCTACAGATGTTCCTATTTCATTTGAATTCATTGCCTTTAAAGGTTATTAAACTACCTCAGGATGATCTCCTTTCCTTGTAATCAAGGAACTTGTCTTCAATAGGACACTGTCCACTGTATTGACTATCACTCTGCCGTATTAATCCTGGAGCAAACTCCCATATATGTTTTCTTTCTAAGTTGACTAACATCAGTAAGTGTTATATAAACAGTAGGGTCAGATGATTCAAAATAATGTCAACTTGAATAAAAAATCAGACACATGGACTTTAAAACAAATGTTTATTACTGTTTAATGGAACTCAAGGGGGCAACACAAAGAATCAAAAAACATCACTGGCTCACAAAAACAGCCACCTTGTTACTTTCTTGGTCACATTTGTTTATTCACAAGGTTTCATTCACACATCTACACGAGATACCAATCTGATTCAAGTTCGTAACGATTATAAAAGTAAACATTTATTGAGACAATGTACAATAAATTGCACTTTCTTAACAAGCATCACATTTACATTAATAGAGTGTACTATACATAATACATGGCATTATGGAAACAACTAATTGGTCACTGTTTACAGAGGAAGAGATTGATGGCTAATGTTGATTTTATAGTCAATTAGCACTCCCAGACTAATCAACTCCTTTATTCTAACCTATTTTCACTGTAGATGCTGGGTAAAACCATGTCTCATAAAAACAGCATAGGTTTGTACTACCTCTTCAGTAAGGCAAAGGCAGGAGTTGGAAAGAAAGGAATGGGAATGACAGAAGCTTTTTCCCTAATTTGAACCAAGAATCCATGCATTATGTAAAATGCCATGAATGGCGAAACCAATGTAGAAAGCTATTGGGACATGTTGTATCCTGGGATCATCTCTAGCTTTATTCTTGGGCTTTCATGACATTAGTCTTTTGATGCATTTATAATCTCACAAATCAGTTTCTTTGATCTTTTTCCATATGTAATATAGTAATTCAGAGTTATAGTTTAGTGGAGTCTTATGTTAATCAACTGCCAATAAAAAGTAATGTTCATTTACTTCTCAATGATTCACTTTTCTTAAACTTTTCAAATACACTTAATGATAAACCAGAGATGAGGGCAGAATGAGGGGGATATATTGATGGAGACAGTTTTATAGCAGGTGGCATGTTTTATTGGAGGTAAGCTCAAGCTGTAGGTTTTGTTGTTTTAAGAGGAAATTGAGACTGATACATGGGACAGCTGCTAGTCACTTAAATCCTATATGCATCTACTTGTCTTATAATTCAAGATCAGCATCACCTGTTGAGGTATAGTCTGTATGGGGGTCCTCATATTTGCAGAGTTTGAAAGTTCAGGAAGTAGGTAACATAAAGTGCCTTGCATGTATTACATATAAGCCACCATAAGAAAGGAAGAATGCTCAGTGTGACCCTCAGCATAAAGACTAGACAGAGTTTTATGCTTGGTCATGGAAAACAGGCCACAGAGCTTCTGCCTGGGCTTCCAGTTTTGATCACTATGTCTTGAAATCTAATGTGTATTTGGTTGCATGGTATCTAAATAAACAAAAGAAACAGGGATACCCTATAAAATTTCAACACACACACACACACACACACACACACACACACACACACACGCACACGCACACGCACACGCACACGCACACGCACACGCACACGCACACGCACACGCACACGCACACGCACACGCACACGCACACGCACACGCACACGCACACGCACACGCACACGCACACGCACACGCACACGCACACGCACACGCACACGCACACGCACACGCACACGCACACGCACACGCACACACACACACACACACACACGCACACGCACACGCACACGCACACGCACAGTCACACACTGCACACATGCAAACGCACCCCTAACTATTCAAACCATACAACACAATTGTTCATTATCTTATTTGCTAGATATTAAAGCAAGAGAATCATCTATTATAGAGTATTATAAAGAATAAGTTATGTAATACAATCATTTTCTAAGTGTCTTTCTTAGAAGATAACTAAGTCTTTTTAAAATGTTCTTTCTGTCCACTTAAAGGCGTCCTAAAATACAGACAACCATCTTAGTGTTGGATGCACACAGTTGGTGAATTCATTAGCAGAGTTAATCTCATTTCAATCCTGATATTAGCTATGCATTTTATTTTTTTTTTAAACAGGGCCTTGCTATGTAATCCTGGCTAGCTTGGAACTCACTGTGTAACCCATGCTTGCCTTGACCTCACAGGCATGCCTGTGCTTCAGCCTCCTGAGTGCAGAGATTGTGGGTGTGTATCACCACAACTGACACTGACACTGACCTAGGAGATTACTTTAAAGTTCTAAGTTTCCATCTGCTGAGCCCTCTCACCTGTGTATTGTTTCAGTTATTTTTGGTTTTCTTGTTTGTTTGTTTTTTTGTTTTTACTTTAGCTAAGAAATGAAACCACTAGTTACTAACTGGAAAATGGTTGAAATGGAGTAGGGGTTGGAGAAAAATAAATATATACTGTAGGAAAAAAGTAAACATTTTAAAAACAAATGAAACAAAAACTGAACTCTCATCATCAGTACAAAGGGGACTTTTCAACTTTATCAGGTAAATTCAAGAAAGCCAAAGAAAAAGAAATTACTAATTTAACAGATGGTGAAGGGATGACAGATACTGTATGAAAATATAGGCTGCAGGCCTATGTGGCATTCCTATTACTGTTTCTGATATGGATTCATATACTGAAGTGTAGTGAACCAAGAATTCCTTTGCATTAAATTATATGTACTAAAAATAACCAAATTGTTTTTCTGGCATTCCAAAATCCAGTGTGGTGTCTTCCAGCTTTTGAGAATACACTAAATGAGACCATCAAGTTATAAAAGCTAATGAATGAGTTGAATCTTCATTATAGATTGTAGAACTTAATGAAAAGAGAAATGATCACTTGCAGATGCTATAAATATTAGCATTTTAGAGGAGTGTTTTCCATCATGTAAATCTTAGGAAAGGATGAAAAAAGTACCATTTTTGAAAGGTATCTTGTATATTTGGCTGGTTTATCTTTATTCTATAAGGAATTCAAGAGAATAATTTTAGCTGTTATGGTGCCTACCTATAAATAATCTCAGTGCTTAGAAGGCTAAAGTAGGAAGGTTTTAAGTTCAAGGCTAGATTGGACTACATAGTAGGACCTATCTCAAGAAAAAAAGTTGCAATTCTCAAATATATATAAAAAAAGTAAGTGAAATTATGATGAGAACTTGCTTTATGTTGGCATTCTGGAGTTCTTAAGCAATGGTGAGGAATGTATGGTTTGCAGCATTGCTAAGGTGAAATAGTGAACAAGAAATCACAAATTAACTGTGAATTTTCTTTCCAATCTTTACTTCTGCTACTAACTCAAAGATGGTGTAATGTAGGCAATTTAAACATAATACCAAAATACCAATATACATGCCCAAGTATCGTATGGTACTGGAAAACAAAAAAGATTATATACTGCCATTATGTCTTTTGTAAGAGCTAAATGAAAACTCAAAAGATAGATATATTTAACTCTTAAAACATATGCTCCTGCTAATTTTGTTTAAAGAGAAAAAGCAAAGGGGCCATGAACCTGAACAGATACTTGATCTAGAGCCATTCTGTTTCCCTCATTCACCACTTATGAAATTTATGCAACTTAGGTATTCTATGGAATGTGTTTATTTTCAGAAGTTAAAAAGAGCTGTGAATGGTATTACAAGTTCACAAAAGTGCACCTTAATTTAGCTGGCCATTTGAAAAAGTGACTTGTTCAGGGCTTCTGAAGTCATAGTGCACAGTATCAATAAAGCTACCTGGCAGCACGAAAAAATAGAAAAAAATAGCTCATCTAAACCACCATATAAGGAATGTTAAGTCAACAGAGATAACTAGAGTTCTGGGTTATTGCCTTTTAATAAAAAGAAATAAATCATCTGATGAAAGACACCAGAACTAAAACCGAAATTTCTATATGGAGAGTATTGTTTGGTAAGTGTAACATATCAAACAACCATATCAGTTTTATGGCCTGTAGATGATAGAGACATCTAGAGATAAAGAAACTTCACTTATTAGAAATCAAAAGTGATTTTCGAGGAAAGGCTCTATCATGAACAACCTGAAGGTGGGGGGACCGTGCTCTGTCTGAGGCTTACCTCTTAGAGTGTATTATTACAGTTACAACATATGGCACAGAGGAAACTGCTCTGGCACTACACAATTTAAGATACTTTGGAAACACTATGCTTAACGATGAAGCCAAAGATGAATATAAATAAATGTACTGTACATGACTGACAGTAGTTTGGTTGCTGTAAAGGAACCAGAGACTTCCATAGTAGCTTAGAAAATGGAAAAAAAAATTAGTTTTGTTCTTACCAAAGAATTTCTTGTAAGGGCTATTTATACAGGCATGTCAAATATAATTGGAAAAATATTTGCACCAATTTTTAACAGTAACCTTACCCTTCCATAAGTTAAGTATTTCTATAAAGGTTTAGTCAATCAAAAATGTGAAAACGCACTTGTTTTTCTTTCTTCCCAGGTGTGCAGGGCACACTGTTTCAGGGTAAGGGAGAAGTTAGGAAAGCTGCCTAACACTAAGGTGCTAGGAAGCTCTCTTCAACTTCCTTGGCAATATCTCAGCCTTTAATAAAGTACAGAACATCAGGGTTTGCCTTAACAAGTTTGTCAGCATCCAATGAATGACTCATCACTGTTCCACTCAAAGTACAATGCCTAACATGGACCTTTTTAGATTACTTCAGTGAGAGGTCCCTAAGTCTGCAACTTACACTATCCATCATCTTTAAAGTTACATTAGTCATAAGTCACCTCTGTGTTCACACAAAGGCACATCAGGAGAATGAGCCCCATGTGGAGTCCTTAAAGGATCTGCGGAACCCTAGAGCCACATGACTTTATTGCACATTTACTGGAGTCTCTATTTACCTAGAGTGCAGTAGCCCATCCATAGATCTTGGCACCCCATTTACAAATGTAGCCAACTCAAAATAATTTAGGGGGAAACTTTGAAGCCAACCCCTTGGTCTGTTCTTTTCTTGGGACAGGTGTAGCACTACTCTGGAAGTCACTTTCAGTGTGAAACCTGTCAGTAGTCATGTGTAGTCCACAGTGTGCTTTATCTGAATAATCCCAGAAAGTTAGAGGTTTAGTTTCCTTTTAAAAACAGAATTTTGTGACAAATATCTTACCATTTTAACCTTGAAATAACATGTCTCCATTTTTGTGTGAGATAAAAATTATTATGAATAATTAATTCTAAACAAAAGCATTTTTAGCTCTAGATTACTTATTCCCAACTAAATTTCAGGCATATAAAACAATGTGTAATACTATGATGGATCTGAATGTGACTCCCCATGAAGAAGCTGGGAAAGACAGTCAACATAACTCAGGCCGGCTTAAATATCCCTTTGAAAAATGTCACACACAAAAGAGCTACTAAAGATTCTAACTTGCTTTCTGGTCTCCTTTACTTTCTTTCAAAGGGACAACAGGAAGAATTCTTGGTTACTGTTGTTTTGATCATTGTGCTCTTGTGCTCCACAGAGGCTGGAGCTATGTGCTCTCCTTGGGTGGCTGGGGAGCCTGTGGTGGCTGTAGTGGCTGGGTGCCTGTGGCTGTTTTGATAGAGTTCAGGGTTTTGCTAAACCAAGAGTTTTTTGCAGCTTGTATTTCATTCATAAGTGCTCCTCGCTGATGCTCAAGTTCCTAATGAAAGAAGAAGATCACGGGTTACATAAATGCCAGAAGAAATTAAGAGATACTGTTTAGATTCACCAGGCCTCTGTAGTCCACCCTCCTCAAAGCCCAGGAGACATTCAGTTGGCTTCCTAATGGAAGAGGGAAGTTGAGAGCTAAAACAGATACCAATGAAAATGAGAATCCATGCTTTCTATGAGCAGTGAAATGAACCACATTTTATTTTCTCTACCTCCCTGCCATTTAGATCCAAATTTGTGTTTAGATTGCAATTGGAGACTACATGTTTAAAACCACAAATAAATATGAGTACAAATGTGTTTCAATAAAAAAAAACTGCCCTTGAGAACATTCAGGATCCAGACCAGACACACTGCTGAGGATCCCTAATGCAGCTTCGGAGTGAGGTTACTGGTAAAAAGCAAACAGATCTGTTCACCAGGAAGCCAGGCCTGTTTTTCTAATGGCTATTATCCAATACAGAGAGAATGGAGAAAGGATTATGGCAAAATCAGCCAAGAACCAAAAGAACTCCAAATGAAAGAGTATGATTAGCTTGTTTTTGTGAAGATAAGAATAGAGGGGTTTGGCCTATCATTTTCAGATCACCCAACCAAAGTGACCAAGTGAAGGACCCAAGACAAACATTTCAGGGTAAACTGGGAGAAAAATTATACTACTAAGTTCTCACAAAATATAACTTTAATCATTATAAATTCATTTAAACCATGTTTGTGTCTATAAATCCATGCTATAAGATGTGATGGCACAAGACATATCAGGGATACAAAATTACCACATGCAGGATCATCATGACTCTAAGCAAGGACAGTATTCTAGCAAGGACAGCTTCTTTTTAAAGAACAGGGTTGTACTACATAGCCCAGGCTGGCCTCAGATTCTCAGAGATCCACCTCCTGAGTGCTGGGATTAAAGGTGGGTGCCTTGATGTCTATCTTAGTCCAGCTTCTTAAAGCATGGGTAGAGACCCTCCACCGTGTATCTGAATGTAGGGGTGGGGAAGGTCATGACAAGAATTTGGCAATGTTAAAAAATTAATTCAAAACCAAATGCATAATGAATCTGAGGTGTTTCTGTCTGTACTTGCCCATATTCTGTAATGTGACTTCTCTTTAGCCTTGGTTCTGAACACAACATATGCATGTTGCACTGGGAAGCCCATCATGTCAAGCTGCAGCAACAAATGCTACTTCAAACTCCTCGGCTCAGATTTTAGACAGCAGTATGCTATGTGCTGCAGGGTTGTTGTTGTTTTTGTACATATAAAACTTTCTGTTCTCATAGAAACATAGCAATCTGCTGGGCAGTGTGGCACATGCCTTTAATCCTAGCATTTGGGTGGCAGAGACAGGTAGATTTCTCTCTGAGACTTCAAGGCCAGCCTGGTCTACAGAGCTAGTTTCAGGATAGCCAGGGTTTCACAGAGAAACCCTGTCTTGAACAAAAAGAAAAAAGAAACAGAGTATTAATAAATTTATAGAAACAATTTTTACCGTTTTCCATCATCCCTCAGCACATAAATATCAAATTAGCATGTCTTTGGATTATACTGTATTAGACATGTTTGATTTCAAAAAAATGCTATTTGAGGGCTAGTGAGATGCCTTGGCTCAGAGGTAAAGAGCACTTCACTTCTGGAGGACCCATGTTCAATTCCCAGTACCCACATGATAGCTCAAAGCCATCTGCAAAATTCCATTTCCTAGGCATCCAATGCCCTTTTCTGTCCTCCATAGGTATTGCAAACATGTGGTGCATCTAAGCAAAGCACACACACGCACACACAAGCTGTTTGAGTTGCTGGCAAGTTTCATTAAAAATAAGCCATAAAATGAATTTTTTCATGAAATTAGAACAGAATTTACAGTTTCTGAAATGGCCCTGAATGTATTTCTGACATCTTGGTATTATGTTTGTGTGAAGTGGCATTTTCAGAATTGACAACTACAAAATTAAAGTGTGAATCAACTCTGAAACACTGAGAATATCTCTTTGTCCTGTAGTATGAAATATTCAGCCAATATTATTTTATCAAAATAAGTATGCCATCTTATGAACTAAATTTATTTTCATTTTCAATCAATGGTAAAACTATACATACATTAGAATTGTTTAAAAACAAAACTTTCTGGGGCTGGAGACATGGCTCAGTGATTAAGAGCACAGTCTCCTCTTCCAGAGGATCAGGGTTCATGGCAGCTTGCAACTGCCTGTATTTCCAGTTCTAGCAATCTGACACCCTCACACAAATGTACATTGAATAAATTAAAAAAAAAAAAAACTTTTCATGGCTTATTGTCAGTAAGTTGGATGTGTAGACCTATTCTCTATATCTATGGTTATATAAATTCTCCCAAGTTAAATGGGGTTGTTTGTGTTGTGTCCTTTTGACCGTTTATCATATCACCAACCTGAATTTTGCACTTGGCTTCCACTAGCTGCAGTTTAGTTTGTGCCAGTTCCAGCTCCATCTCCCTTAGCTGCTTCTTAAGTGAGTCCTTCTCATCATCGGCTTCAATTCCCTGGTCCTCTCTACTTACGGCTGCTGGCTTTAAAGCTCCTTCCTTGCTGAAAATGTCACTGCAGTGTTTGCATGCCATCATCTTACCCTGAAATACACAAAAGAGACATCAGACATCAAACTGTATTTTATAAGCTAAACAACTTCCCAAAATATGTGATTTTTAAAGATGGTGCACTGTCTTCAAACACTGTCCTGTTTCTGAAGATACTCTTTGACTTGTGCTATCACCAGATGGTCACAGTCAGCACAAAATCCACCTGTCCCAGAACAGGTACTCCATGTGCATGTCCTTTTGTTTGTCTTTAAGAAAAGACAAACATCATTGCTTAAGGGAATAAAGGTGACACAGCTGCATGCTGGCCATTGCTGGCCATGCACACCCCACCAAACAAGCAATTCTTCTTGACAGTACTGTTTGCTGCCACTGGCCTAAAGTTCTGCTTTGGAGTGTTGGAATGTTGGTGTAAGCTTCAGTTAATAATGTGTTTTTTATGTGATCTTGAGGATGGAAGCCCTGGGGGTACAATATACACGAGGAACTCCTTTTTCAAGGTACTGGTATTATTGTCTACGAGGATAATGTGGACATGGTTCACTATTGACCAAAGACCCATTTCTCTAGGCCTAGGCTGCTTTTTTAAAAAATACATTATCTTTTGAGTTTAAGCCAGTGTTCTTTTGAGTTGGTTACATGTATTTAAGTATAAACCCACACAGAGTGATACAGTAAAATTTGTATATGGCATGATCATTGTGATTACAGTGTAGAGGATGAACTGGAGATGTCACAGTATTATAGGACACTGGAGAATCAAACTGGCACACCACACCAAATGAGATGCAGAAGTAGCACTGGAGGTTAATGACCAAGAATAGGATTAGAGTCTGACTCTGGGTTTAAATCCCATTTCTACTGCTTTCTAGCACTGTAATTCAACCAATGAGCTACCTGTTTGGGACCTCATCTCAACCACTGGAAGATAGTCATGTCTGTTTCCCAGAATAGGTGTAAGCTAAAGGGAAGACACATATAGGGCCTTGGTGTGAACAGGAGGTTCTAATAAATGCTAGTCGCTCTTCTGTGGCTGATACAAGCTCATCTTTCTCTTTTAGGATGCCATCACCTTTCATTAACTAATCTTACCTTCTTGTTTTTCTCCATTCCTAGTCACTACTTATCCTAATCACATGCCAAAGCCCTCTGGCCTGAAGTTCTTAGGTTTTTGTCTTCTCTACAGCTCTGATTGTCATTGTAATCCAACACAGAACTGTTGTTTGTGTGAGTGACTTGTCTTGTAGGACATATAAAATATACTGTCTCCCAAATTCATCTAAGTACCTTATATACATTATCTTATTTAACCTCTAAAATTATCTTATGACACAGGCAATGTCTATTTTGAAGAAAAATAAGATTAGATAAGTTAATTTTTCAACCCCATTAAATGATAACCTGCCTGGGACATACTTATGAAACATGAATATGTTCAAACAGACATCTGGTAAACTAGCACTGTATGAGTATTGGTATTCATTAGAATATATTATATATTGATTGATGGGGGAGGTCCTTCTGAGTATATGCTTGTCTTATTGGTTGATAAATAAAACACTGTTGGCCAATAGGGGAGCAAGTTAGGCAGAACTAGGAGAGAAGGAGGATTCTGGGAAATGTAGGAAAGGGACAGAGTCGCCATGTGAGCCCGGGGAAGATAGGACGTTTGCCGCCGGCGTCCTCAATAAGATAAGTTTATAAAATATATAGTTTAATAGCTATGGTTGATAATTAAGACTGAGCTAGCAGATAAGAAATCCTAGCCACTAGCCAGCAGCATTGTAATAAATATAAGACTCTGTGTGTTATTTCGGTCACCCACGTGGCGGCAGAACTTGGGCGGCTTGGGGGAAAGATTTATGGTTACAATTAATATTATTAAAAACAATCCATTTGGTGTACTGTTACTTTTATTAGTTCTTTGAGAGTTTTGTACAAATTGTTTTGATCATATTCACTGTTCTCATGACTTTTATTCCTTTTTTCAAAAAATCAAACATAATTTCTTTATTGATTCTTTGGGAATTTCATCTCATGCATCCTAATTCTGCTTACCTACCAGTCCCTCCATATCATCCCCTGTAACACCACCCCAACAGAAAATTTAAAATATCAAAATAAAGCCGGCAAACAAAAACTAAGAGCAACCACTTTCTCAAGTACATAAATGGCATAAGGAGTTTTACCCACCAGGGGGCAGCATAAAAATAACTGGCATACATTTCTCTCTGGTAAACATTTTTATGGGATTCCTGAGTGTGAGAGCGAGTGGTTTCTTATTCTTGCAGTTTCTGTTGGGCTCTTTTCCTTCTGTTTGTCTTGTCCAACTCCAATGTGATAGCTTTTGTTTTATCTTATTATATTTTATAATATTAATATTTTATTATTAAAAAATCTTGTTTGCTGAATCAGTTAGCTACTAACAAGTGTTTTTCCAGCCAATAGTATTTGCTGTCCCAGAGAGTGTCAGGATGACCCTGCAGAACTCCAAATGGAAGACAGTCAATTCAGGCCATAATCAGATGTGAGCTGTTGAACATCTCAGTTTCTTACCACACAACAAAGACACAAGATTCTGGGCCCATATGTTCCCTCCTTTCCTGCTACCTGCCTCTGAAATCTCATGCCATTATAGGAACATAAATGTCAAGAAAGACACCCCTGTGATAGGGAAGAGGACTGAGACTCTCCATAGTGTCTGAGTGTATTATACAAGATGGGGGAGGGGTTGCTGAGGATGGATTTGAAAGAAATCACATCATAGAAGTAGCCCACTTCTTACCTTTACTGCTTCCAGCTCCTCCTTGCTGGCTGCTTGCTGTTTTTCCAGCCTGGTACTTAACTGAGAACATATCTAAAGGCAGAGAAGAGTTTCTTTACTAGAAAACAGAATGACTGGTGACATAACTGTTTTATCAACTCACAAAGCACACTAGCATGCCAGATCCTAGGGGACATTTTGTAAATAAGCAGCACTGCAAACCTAGTCATTTCCAAAATAAGCAGAAGGCCTTTGAGCTCCATGTGTGAAGCATAACTTAATCAGGAGAGACATATTTTATGGGGTAGATAGGGTTCTTGCTGTCACTAGCTTTCTGTAGCTAGCAATAATGAATTCATAGCCTCCCCATGGAATCACCTATAGAAACTATTGAGAATCTACTATGTACAAGGTGTTACACTTGGAATTCAATGAAAAGAATTCTGAACCAGCAACAATTCCCAGTGGGCTTCAGAATATCTCTTTTCACCCATAAATGTTTCCTTAAGAATCACTTATCTACTTCATGAATAAACAGTGCCATGCTACAGTAATCAAACAAAAACAAAGGATGTGCAGGGTCTCGAAATATTTAGCACCAGACCAGTAAGAAGCCCATATTTAATAAAAATCTATTTGATGGTTGGTTCTGAAATATGGTGTTAGAAGTACTGGGAACAAATAGAAAGAAATGTTTTCCAGGGTGAAAATATTTTAAAAAGTAGAATGTTCAAGTCTATTGACTAAAATAAGAATCTTTCTCTCACAAAAATGAATGAAAATAAATCTTAAAACACATTAAACAAAATAGAAACATGAATGAAAAGCAAGGAATATCAAATTTTAAAGTGTACACTGGACTAGTAACATATATATATATATAACCTATCTAGATTTACTTATTTTACATATATGAATGTTTTGTCTGAGTGTATGTATGTGCACCCATGTATGCCCAGTGCCCATAGAAGTCACAAGAAAGCATTGGATCCCCTAGATCTAGAGTTTCAGATGGTTGTGAGTCACCATGTAGGTGCTGGGAACTGAACCCAGGCCTTTTTCAAGAGCAATGAGTATTCTCAACTGCTGAGCCATCTCTCTAGTCCCTCAAAAAAAAAAAATTAAAAACTTATACATGCATGAGGACCTGAGTTCAGAACCCCAGTTAAAAGCCTAGAATGGCTGTTCATCCAGAATAGAGCAGTCAGCTATAGCACAATGTGGTAATTAAAATGCATTTGCATGTGACAACAGGTTCCAGGGCACACAGTCTTAATGTTTTCTCTGCTGATTTCCATCTAATCTCTCCACAAAAATCTCAGAGTTACTTTTGCCCTTTCTAGAAAAACAAACCAACCCAAAACAAACCCTTGTGTCTCCTCTTCTTAAATTATTACTCACTGTGGTGTGGTTTGGATAGGAATGGCCGCCACAGACTCTTGTGTTTGAATGCTTGGTTATCAGGGAGTGACACTATTAGGAGGTGTGGCCTTATTGGAGTATTGAGGCCTTTTTGGAGGAAGTGTGTCACTGGGGTTGGGCTTTGAGGTCTCAGATGCTCTCAAGCTAGTCCCAGTGTGGCATTCTCTTCCTGCTGCCTATTGATCCAGATGCCAAACTCTTGGCTCCTTCTCCAATGCCATGTCTGCCTGCATGCTGCTATGACTCCCTCCATGATCATAATGGACTAAACCTCTGAAACTGTAAGCCAGCCCCAGTTAAATGTCTTCCTTTGTAAGAGCTGCTATGGTCATGTTGTTTCTCCACAGCAACAGAAACCCTAAGTAAGACACTTATTTTGGTTTTGGGCCCCATTTCTTCTCCTGCCTGTGGATCTCTGCCACTGGCTCCATATTCCTCACTAAATGTGAACAGTGCTGATAGCACATCCACCAGCAGCCACTTTCTACAACTCTTCAGCCCAAACATGACCCTGTGGACTTCTGTGAACTCTTCAGTCCAGATGTGGACCTGTGGGCTTCTGTCTCACCTCTGTATTTGAATCTCCTGCCAAGTGAAATGCTTTTCTGTCTACTAATCTATCTCCACAACATCCCTCTTTCCAATTTTCTGTCCGGCTGCCTCCAAATGCACACTCCAAGTTTTGCCCAGCCTTTTGAAGTACAGTTCAAACCATAACATGACAAGGCTTCCTGTGCTTGCTCTGGGAACACATGTACTGATAAGAAAAAAAGATACTTCCTCACTCCCCACATATAATGAGTTCTTTATGTCTATGCACAGGAATTAGCCTCCCTCCCATTTTAAGACAAGCTAGAGTGTGGTATGCGAGTACACATTTGTAGTACTAGCCCTGGGAAGCTGAGGGCAAAGAACTAAGTGTTTCAGGTCACTTGAACTACATTAGACTTTGCCTCAAAACAAAAGAATAATAAAAAATAAAACAAAAATACTTCCTAAAGGAGAAAAAGCAGACTAATTCATTTTATGATCCCTGAAGTTTCCAGCTTCACCACCAGAAAGCATTCAATAAACATATCATAAAAAGTGGAAGAGAACTCTGAAATCTCATTTCTAATACATATTCCATGAGCAGGAGGGATATTTATACACAGATGTATGTATGTGTTATGTATGTATGTGTGTATTTTATGTGTGTGCATATTTATGCATGTATTATCACAGGCCCACAGCCTCAGCCCTGAAGCAGCCTTATAAAAAGATGTTCCTAATATATGAATGGATCCTCCTAAAAAAAATTACAGAATTGCACAATTTACCCCCTTTACATATTTATTTATATAGCATTTGTTTATATTATGATGCATATTCAATACAGTGATTATCTCTAATTAGTACAATTAAGTGGGGCTTGTTTTGTGTTTTTCTGCATGTAACTAACTTTGTACAAAACACAAATTTCACTTATATGCATAAAAACAGACTCCATAAAATGCATATATCAGATGTCAACATCCTTTATATGTTGACATCCTAAGGGAGTCCTCTGATCAGAAAATAACATGTAGCATTGTAAATTCTGAAAGCCTAGAACATAAGTATTCAAAGTCTCTCAGGATGAGGGCTCCATCCCACATCCACCTACTAACAAGGGGGAACTGCAGTGAAAGCTTTCTAGGACAACCCCAGTGAGGGGACCAGGAATACCTTCAAGCAGAAGCAGTTGTCTATTAAAGGGGCATTTGAAGGGCCACAGAAGGGTTTCTGCCAGCACTGGCTTGCAGACAGCAAGTCTACATAATCAGCCTGGGGAAAAGCACTATTCTGAACCATGAGAGCAGACGATAACATATTCCCCCAGCCACTGTCATTTAATATAGTTACTAAGCTTTGCAGTGAGGAAAATGTTACCAGTGTGACCTATTAGGAAGGAGTCCCAGTGGGACTGTTTCTGATCCCACAGGAACTATCCAACACTAAAAAAACCAACAGGCTGCACTGGCAAACTAGGCTTCTCATGTTACCAGCAGCAAATCCAACCACTGCCCACTACAGAATAGAGAGTAAGACACTATTCTCAGTAAATCTAGAAATCTTCAGAAACAAAAAACAAAACATAAGTAAAAGTAATTGCTTTTTTGAAAAATAATTAAAAACCCACATGGCATATTACCTGTTTATACTCAGCAATGATAGCTGTAGTCTTCTTTATCTCGTACTCTGCCTTTTCGAGCTGTTTCCTGAAGACTTCTTTTAGCTAAGAGGAGAGGAGGGAGATCAGGAAGGTCAAATTTGGTTTTCTTTGGAAAGATTTTAATTTTGTGTATGTGTATGTGGGTATGCATATGCGTATTGGTGCCAGTGAAGGTCAGAAGAGGCTGTTGGGTTCCCTAGACCTGGAGTTACAGTTGGTTACAGGCTGCTCAACTTGGATGCTGAGAACTCTTGAAAGTGCTCTTAGCTGCTGAGCCATGTCTCTAACCCTTCAAATCAAAATGTTAATCAATTTCCATAAACATCTACATTCAAGTCTCCCTGATTTCCATAATTCAAAATCTACCACTTATAGAGATGGAGAAGGCTTACCTTTTGTATAAAGTGGAAGACATATAAGAGGTCCTATAATAAAACTGCTTCTGCTTTCCAAGTACCTGATAAATGTATTGCTAAGTTAAGTGTCAGTTCAGAAGCTGAAGCTGTCTTTATTATGAGTCCACAATAAACTACCAGAGCAAGACTGTGTTCTGTTACTCTTAATGCTATGCTATATTTTGGTCTTCCTATCTATAGTCCCCACTGCCACTGCCATTGCAGGGGTAAAAGCTGAGGAGTCAGGAAGGGATGGAAGATAAGCACTCTTAAGAAGGCCTGGAGGCTTAGGAAACCAGACAGAAGGAAAAAAAGAAAAAAAAATGACACAGCACCGGGGGTATTTGTTTCAGTCAGTGACATGCTAAATTATAAGTATTATACCAGCAGTCACAGTTATTTTTTTTTTCATCAGTAGCTATAGAATTCTAGAATAGAGGAAGATTAAGTGATGAAACACTCAGGTACCAGGATTCTGTCAAGTTGTTGGCCAAACAAGAATGGAAGCAAGCAAGGAAACAAAAATAGCTCTGGTTAGTCTTTCAATACATACACAGAATAAAGAATGAATTACTGTGGCTGAAGAGATGGCTCAGCAGATACGAGGGCATAAAGTTCTTGTAGAGAACCTGAGTTCAGTTCCTAGCGCTCACATCAGGAGGCTACACTGTAACTCCAGCTCTAAGACATCCAATGTCCTCTTTTGACCTCTGTGGTTTCCCACACAAATATGACATATAAAGACACACATACACATACAAAGAAATGAAGGTAAAAATAAATCTTTTAAAAAAACAAAAAAGACAAATTCTTCCAATTCATAATTTGAGATGCTGACATGAAGGATTCATCTTTTTAACATATTTCAATGGGAAAAAAATCACAGAACGTTTTTTATAGACCTTGGAAGGTGCTAATGACACATCTCTCCATATGTGTCTTCACTGACACTTTTCTCTGGCTGCTTGGATGAAGGACTTTGAAATTCTTGAGAATTAATTTGGTATATATTTAGCATTACTGAATTTTCCTTGGGAAGAAACTCATGATTTCAGAAGACTTCTTCCTCTGGAAGTTAGTCATGTCCTGAGCAGTAGACGTTGCTGGTGAGGAATTCTACAGTGCCATCTACAGCACTTCACTGTGACTCAGGAAACTGAAGCTACTGATGGAGGCCAAGGCTCCTGTCAGAGACAGGCAGAAACCATGATAGGCCTCTGGTTTAGCAGCATTCACAACTACTTCACAAGAGTCACTGATCTTGGCAGTATGACAGAAAATTTCCAGATTCATCAAAGCTCTTGGATCATAATTCAAAGTCACTAAATACAGAAAAAAAAAAAAAAAAAACTCAACATTCCTGCTAGACATCTCGTGAAGACAAACTCCTAAAAGATGTTCAAAGGCAGAGTTACTACTTATCATTCCCCTTGATTTAGGGGGAAAATCGATTTTTACATTTATTTATTTTTACAATATTAAGCAACTTCCTGTAAGTGTATCCACATACAGAAAAGCCTGCCTGTGCCTTTTACCTGGGCAGTCTCCTCCTCTTGCTTCCTCTTCTCTTCCTCGGTCTCCACCAGCCTCTGCTTGGTCAAGAGAAGCTCCTTATTCAGCACGTCAGCCTTGTCCTCTGCCTGCAAGTCAGAAAACGGGAGAGTTGTACAGAAGGGGATGGTATCATGGGCTTACTCCAGACCATTCTCCTCTCTTCCAGCTTACTGTGGGGGTGGCGTTTTTTCTCTAGCCAATTTTATGTGGCCACTATGCTCTCATTATCTTTAATCTTTACAGAATAATCATTTATAGCTAATAACACTGAGGTTTGGAGAGATCAATCTTGGGTTAAACCTGATATAACAAGTATGACTTGGATGTGGGTTTGAATGACATTGAAGTCTGTGTTCGTTCTAAACATTTCTTGCATATTTTTACATGTTCCAAGAGCACATACTCTGAAAGGATGGGCCTGATGAGGAGGAAGAGTTTCACACAGAAGCTTCTAGTTGAAAACACACAAGGAGGACCCAGAGAAGACACTCAGAGAAGACAAGCAGACAGACTGATCCATGAACATGTTCTGGTAGAAAAATTTGAAAACTAGCTGGGGTAAAGTGGCCCACAGGGTCATTCATTCATATAGGTCTGTGGGAAAAGTAAGCAGAAACTACCTCAGAGAGTGACGGGCTATGAAAAGTTGCAGTTTGTACCAGAAATCAAGGCAGCCCCAACTGCACTTCTAGAATACACAGGAGGAGCTTAAAGAGTATGTTTGTTAATTTAGGTACAGAACTGAGATTAACTAGAATTCCATGTATATATTTAATATAGCTAGCTTTGCCAGCTTTTATACTCTGAGGTCCTAACTTCTCTCTCTGGTTCCAGCCACACAATCACATCACAGTGAACATAACCCAAGCCTGCTCTACTCACTCCCATCAAAATTGCCTCTGCTGTTTTATCCCTCCTACTATACTCCACAGCACTGTAATAAGCATACGTGGGACTTACATGTCTTGCCACTATGCTTTAAATACCAGGAGAAATCATATTTCTCTTGCTTTTCACTATATCCCTGGCACCACAGCCACATCTCTTAAATGGTGAGTGAATGAATGGATGGATGTGACTTTCTAAGGCACTGGAAAAGGAGACTGCTTACTAAATGGTCATTATTAGGCCATGATAGATAGCTTTATGGAATTTATTGACAAAGTGTCCAATGTACACAGCACGCGTGAGCCCTGTGTATGTGGACTTCCACTGTCTTCTAGGAAACTTTACTCCAAGAGTCTTCTTTATGTTAAATAGTATAGTAGAAGTTATTCTCCTGCCCATCAACAAAATAGGACCACATCTCAAATGACCTGACTCCACCTGTAAAAATAGTTTTCTGAACTTTTGTATGGTCAGCAATTCTATACCTTGTTCAAGAAGGCATTGTCTACAATATTTAACAATCATAATATTAAGCAAAGATTTATTCAAACTCCACCAGTCAACCAGATCATAAAACCTTCATCATAACTTGATAGTCTGAATAGAACATTATCAAATCTTTAGTTACAATGCTTATTGTTATTTGAAGATGACATCTGTGACAAAAACACAGGACAGAAATAGTGACTGCAAAGGCTGCTTAATCACAAATCAGCCAGTGAGCTGATCAAAGGCTTGGGGAAACCAAGATGAGGATCTAATACAAATGAGTTTTGATAGAACTCACCACACCAACTGCTCAAATTAGAACAAAGTGAAAGAATGTACCTCTCACCCTAAGAGAGACATACATGGTTCCCTGGAGAAGGGGAAAGGGACAAGATCTCCTAAGCTAATTGGGAGCATGGGGGAGGGGAGAGTGAGTTAGAAGAAAGAGAAGGGGAGAAGAGGAGGGGAGGGGAGAAGAGGATATGAGGGAGCAGGAAGATTTAGTCAGGGAAAGAATAGAGGAGAGCAAGAAAAGAGATACCATAATAGAGGGAGCCATAATAGGTTTAAAGAGAATTCTGGCACTAGGGAAATGCCCAGAGATCTACAAGGTTGACCCCAACTAAAAATCTAAGCAATAGTGGAGAGGCTGCCTTAAATGCCCTTCTCCAATAATGAGATTGATGACTACCTTATATGCCATCCTAGAACCTTCATTCAGTAGCTGACGGAAGCAGAAGCAGGCATCTACAGCTAAACACTGAGCTGAATTCTGGAATCCAGTTGCAGAGAGGGAGGAGTGATGAGCAAAGGGGTCAAGACCAGGCTGGAGAAACCCACAGAAGCAGCTGACCTGAACAAGGAGTTGCTCATGGACCCCAGACTGATAGCTGTGAAACCAATATAGGACTGTTCCAGACGCTCTAAACGAGGAGGTCAGTTTGGAGGTCTGGACAATCTATGGTGCCACTAGTAGTGGATCAGTATGTATCTCTAGTACACAAATGGACTTTGGGAGCCCTCTCCACATAGAGGGATCCTCTCTCAGCCTAGACACACTGGGGAGGGTCTAGGCCCTACTCCAAAGGCTATGACAGATTTTTGAAGATTCCCATGGAAGGCCTCACCCTCCCTGGGGAACAGAAAGGAGTAGGGATAAGGGGTCAGTGAGGGGCAGGGGAGAATGGGAGGGAGAGGGAACTGAGACTGACATGTAAAAGAAGCATGTTTATAATTTATTATTTTTATAAAAAAAAAGACCTGAGCTTCTGAAGGCTCATGGTCAGAAGGAGCTCAAACATATCTCCATGGGAAGGCATTAATTTTATCTCTTCTTTGAGAATAGGGGAGGGCAGAAAGGGCCTTAGACCACTGAAATGAAGATGCTTCTTTGATAGTTTCTGGTTCCTGAGGAATCTTTATTTAATAAGGAGTCTAATAGTGAGCTGTCAGAAGAAAAGAGTCCTTTGTCTGAGAGAAAAGCTGGGTACCTCTACTGCCCAGGGCATCCAGGACACCTGACTCAGCATTAGTGACAGGAGCAAGGAATTACTTATTTTGAAAAAGTACCTAGTCAGTATTTATTTACTTTATATATGGGCTCACATACCACCTACTTTCAAGTTTGTTAAGGTTTGCTATTCTGATTAAAAGACTGAATTCAGATTAACTGAAAACAAAGGCCCTGGGCAAACAGCAGGAGCAGGCAAAACCAGTCTTTCCACTCCCAGACTGATGCCCTTCCTTGAAGAGCAGCAGGCCAGAAGGCTGTGTGACAAGAAGGAAGGTCCTGCAGAGGTAGAAACTGAAAAATCAGAAGTTAGGAGATATGCATGAAATAGCAGTTTTTATTCTTTCTTCTATATAACTAGTTACAAAATGAAGGTTCTAGGGTATCACTTATTTAAAAGGCAGAGAGAGCTATGATATAACAAAGCAGGAAGGGAAGAAATAAAGGCATGATGGACTCGAGTGTGTGTGTGTGTACACCTCTGTGTATGTACAGAGGCCGAAAGTTAATGCCTTGTATCTTCCTCAGAGCTCAGCAATCTGGGAAGGCTGGCCAACAAATCCCAGATTTGCCTGTGTCCTTTCCCCCAGGGCTGTGTTACAGATGCACACTATCATGCTTGGCTTTTACACATGTACTGGAGACTCGAACTCAGGTTCTCAAGCTTGCTAGCAAACACTATACCTACTGGGCCATCTCCTCTGCCTGGAGAATCCTTTCTAAAGGAACATGAGGTACACAGGTACTCAACAGTCAGTTTCAATCATTTCAGACTAATCCACAAAAGGGATTATCTCCCCAGTAAGATGACTTTTCAAGTAATATTCTTCTGTTTATAAAGTTGTATGTTCTCATATGTAATGCATATTGTTTTTCTAGCTTCATTATTTGAAAATTATTTCAAAAACATGTTTTATAGAAGTACTATCATTGTCTTCTACTACTGGACATTACATCATTTCTACATTTTATTTCTTATAAGTAACACTGTAGTAAATAAACTTTCATATTCATTCTTTAATTAAATCTCTTTTAAAGTATATCTCTCTAAGTTGGAGACTATCAGCTTTCTCATTTCTAAAATGAGGGCTCAAAAATAATGCTTGCCTCAAATTTTGAATTAGCACCAACCAGAAATAACTATTCCACTAAGAATTTTTCTTTACTCTGTGTGTGTGTGTGTGTGTGTGTGTGTGTGTGTGTGTGTGTGTGGTTTCCAGACACAAAAACAAAACCTGAAAACTTATCCCAGTGGGTCCAGTGAATGAGAACACTTTGAAAATACCTGATGCTCAGTGTAAAAGAGCAAGCAACTAAAACCCCAACAAAACTGGGTATGGTTGCCCACACCTTTAATCCCAGCACTCAGGAGGCAGAGGCAGGAGGATCTACAGAGCAAGGTCCAAGACAGAGAAGCCCTGTCTTGAAAAATGGAGAGGGGGGTGGGGGAGAAGAGAGACAGAGACACAGAGAAAGAGAGGGAGAAAGACATACACATACACACACACACACATACACACACACACACACACACACAGAGAGAGAGAGAGAGAGAGAGAGAGAGAGAGAGCGAGAGAGAGAGAGAGAGAGCGAGAGAGAGAGAGAGAGAGAGAGAGAGAGAGAGAGAGAGAGCGCAAAAAGACAGCTTTTCAAATGAGTGAAGCTGATAAATAATCTGAATTAAAGGCCTCAGAGTCAAACTGAAAATGTAAAACTGAGTCCCCTTTCTTTAGGCAATCAGAAGTATCTAGTGTCCCTGTAGGTTTAGTTCTTCTTGTATTGAGGACTAGATTTGTCTTCCAATTTGTTCTCTATTCTGTCTGGGTGAAAAAGCATTGGCAGACACTGTACAAATACACAGACATAGGAGAGAGGTTCATGGCCAGACAGAGAAAGAAAAGACATTAATGAATCTCAAGAAAGAGACTCTCGCTGACTGGGAGACAGAGGAGGGAATTCATTAGCTGTTTGTTAGGCACGTTTGTTTGTTAGGCAATGATCTGTACATTTTTGTTATTACTAGACTGGAATCTTTTTTCCTTTTCTGTTTTGTTTTTTGTTTGTTTGTTTGTTTGCTTTTGAGACAGGGTTTCTCTGTTTAACAGCCCCACCTGGAACTCAATTCTCCTCCTCTGTCTCCCAGTCAGTGGGAGTCTCTTTCTTGAGCTTCATTAACGTCTTTTCTTTCCAGAACTCAATTTATAGAACAGGCTGGCCTTGAATTCACAGAAATCCGCCTGTCTCTGCCTCCCCAGTGCTGGGATTAAAGGCGTGCACCGCACTGCCACTGTCTGGCTAGACTAGAATCTTTGTTTTAAAAGCATAGCCATGTTGCACAGATACCTCATTACCCTTGCTGCAGAGAGACTGGTGGGCAAAGTTCTGGGGCTTTCACCCATATACTGAGTGATGGGGCATGGTGAAATCTCAGAGGTTTGAAAGCATGTTCCGACCACTGTATACATTAAAAAGTATTTGCTTCATGGGATTATTGGGAAGATTAATGGAGACAATATAAGTTACTATGCACAGTGCTTAGCATGTCAAGAGTAATCACTGAAAATCTAACCAGTTGCTTAAGCATTATGTAGGCTTACTACAAACTACCAAATAACTTTCATTTCCTTTTTGGCTCATTTCACTGCATCCCTACTGAGCGCAAACCTTCCATTTTTTTTCACTTAGTTCACCATCTTAAGAAAATTAATAGAGAATAAATGATTCAAAATGGTAGAATCAGGGGGGCACATGCACCTGGAAAGCCAGTATGGAACTGAGACCTCCCATGTAGCCCTGCTTTCCTGAGATCAGGCTGAATGGGGACCATCCTCAGTGCTGGCTCTTAGTCTTCAGTCAACTTCCAAATGGACTAGGATGAGTAGAATTTGTTGTTAAAGGGACTAAATGGGCTTCTTTTTCTACCTTCTATTCCCTGTATTCAAGCAGCATAATTTGTTTGTTTGTTTTTATTTTCAACATCAATTTAGGAGTTGGGGATGTAGTTGAATGGTAAAGTACTTGCCTAGCATACCTGAGTCCTGTGGTTCAATCTCTAGCTTATGGCAGAAAAAAAAAAAATCAGATTTCATGCTGGTTCCCCCAGCTTCATCCTGCCCTGTTATTATTATTTTCCTTCATATTTAGATTTCATCTCCCATGTCAAAGCTTTTGAGTTGGGGGTGGAGAAAAGGTTCTGGATTAGGAGTGCATACTGCTTTTGCAGAGGGTCCAAGTTTGGCTCCCAGCACCTACATGGAAGCTCACAAAGGTCCCTAACTTCAGTTGCAGGGGATCCAACTCCCTCTTTTGGCCTCCTCAAGTACCAGGCACACAGCTTACAAAACATTTTTAAAAATTTAAAAATTTTTGAGTGACAAAATTAGCTGTTTAAGATGGGAGATTAAAAAGTCATGGCAGAGACTTATGCCATCCTTAATGTTAAGCAGACTGTATCACTAGTGAATATGTATTTAAATCCTCTAAATATCCAGTCACCACACAGGCAATAATGATTTACTCTTTTAGACTCAAAAGTCTCAATTTTTCTGACACTGGTCTATTATGTTTTCACTTTAGAAAGAAAAAGCAGTAGAAATTTAAAACTGTACATGACTGCTTTCTTCTTAGCAATCATCTCTGAAAATGTTTGCAAAAGAAAACAGGAAGTCCAAAGACTGTCAATGATGTTGTGAGGAAAAAGGGAAGCTGAAGATCAAAAGGTTTCCTGGCAACAGCTACCAGGTAATGAACACATACTACTCGTCTTAGTTCGGTTTCTATTGCCATGCTAGAATACACAGTAAACCAATAGGGAGAAAGGGTTTATTTCATCTTACACTTCCAGGTAATGGTTGATCACTAAGGAAGTCAGGGCAGGAACTCACAGGGCAGGACCTAGAGGCAGGAGCTGATGCAAAGGCCATGGAGAAGTGCCACTACATACTGGCTTGCTCAACCTGCTTTCTTTTACAATTCAGGACCACCTGCCCAACTGATGGTACCACCCACAGTAAGCTAGACCCTCCGGCATCCATGAAGAAAAATGTATCATAGGCTTGCCCACAGTCAGTCTGTGGGCATTTTTGTAACTGAGGTGCCCTCTGCTTAAATGACTCTGGCTTGTGTCAAGATGGCATAAAATTAGCCAGCACACAACTGAAGGGCTTTCTGAATTCATCCCTATGAGGTAGATACTTTTTATACCTATAGACTGCCCAGCGTATACAACTAGTAAGATTCACACAGAGGCATTCTGGCATGTAGGGAGCTGCAGAAAACCGCACCCAAAAGATGGCGCCGGTTTCCGCCTTCCGCCAGCCCGACGGCGAGCGCTCTCTGTGGTAAACAACTCCAAATATGGTAAAGGTCATGTATCCTCTTAATTCTGCTTGGAGACAACCTATCCTGGCGCGCCACGTAGGGTTAGGTGATTGGTAGATGTAGACTATATCAAGCCCCGTCTCCCTCGGCCCGGGGCCCCCGCCGCCGCCGCTGCCATTATACACTGTACAAAGCAAAGAGGGTCCCGATTAAAATGTGTTGAAGAAGATTCCTCGGTGTGGCGTCTTTCTTGCTGGTCAAGGGTGGACGCCGCACTGGCAGTCTTAGCCACTAAGATGCTTGTCAACTCAACAGTCCAGGTCTTCTTGAACAGTGCCTTTTGTTTTATGAGATAGGCTCTTATGCAGCTCAGGCTAACCTTGAAGATGAACTCCCTATCCTCCTGTCCATGCCTTGATTACTAGGATTAAAGACACATGCTGCCACACCTGGCCTAGCTCTTATGGTATGTTCTTCACATACAATTCTACATGTCACAGATGAGAACTATTGCTGTAACAGAAAGGTGCCTCCAAAGGTCAAATTTGCATTAGTGTACTCTCAGTGACTAATATTTTTAGGCATTATACTGGCAGCTTTTTGTTTAGGGAAGTACCGACAAAGTAAAGAGTTGCTTATAGGATTTAAAAACGTATGCCACAGAGGTTGTTTGGAAATAATCCAAACCTTTCTCTAAGACCAGCATTTTCCACTCTCTGTAATTAGCTCAAGCTGTCCCCTCCCACCTGCCACCTGCCACCCACCAGTCATCTATCCAGCACCTCACTCATGTCAAGAACAGAGCAAGCACAGGGGAGGTGGCAAACACCTTTAACTCCTCCAGCTTTTGGGAGGCAGAGGCAGGTGGATCTCTGTGACTTCCAGGCCAGGCTGGTCTAGATAGTGAGTTCCAGGACAGCCAGAACAACATAATGAGACCCTGTGTCAAAACAAAACAAACCAACAACAACAACAAAACAAACCAAAGCAAAGGAACAGAGCAACCCTGAGGGAACACTTCAGGAGCACCTTGGTCCCCACCCTGGAAGAAGCTGTTGTAGTAAAATTTCTATACAGGGAAAGACAAACTTACCTGATCCAAGTCATTCCGCAGAGCAATTTTGCTTGTCACTAGTTCATGGGCAAGGTCATCATTCTCTTGTTCCAACCTCATGCTGGCTTCCTGTAATCTTCGGTTCTCCCTCTGCAGAAAAAGAGCAACAGCCGGAAGTACACATTAGTGCCAGAACATACAAGTAGAAACTGGTGGGGAGTGGGGGAGGGGGCAAGCAACAGCAACAAAGTGAACTCTCAAAGGTGTAAAAGAGAAGGCACAGTGGCACAGGAAGGCAGGTTGCTGTCTGGGAAACAACAGTGAGTTTAGCCAGCAGTGCGGATGCGACTCTCTACGGTGAAGTTTAACAACCATCGCCTAAACCCTCCAGACAGAACTTCATTAGATAAGGCCCTCCACAAAGAGCACGGTTTCCAAATGTGCTCCCAATTATGGGAGATTTTCACATAGACCTAGAACACAGACATAAACAATTCTTGTTTGAAACATGCACAGTTTGACTCCTAGAGAAATAGTCCACAAGATCCAACAGGGATGATGCTGGTCATTTTTTTTTTTTTCCCCAAACTGTTTCTCTAAGATGAGGGACTAAATTAATTGAAACTGTTCAAAAACAGTCAACCTAAAATCAAGATATGCAGGTTCAAAAAGAAAAAAGAAGATACATGAATTTGTGATTCTCTACCAGCTGATTGTTTTATGCTTTCTTTAAGATATATTTACTTCTGTATATAATATGTTTTTGTGTCACTGAGAGCAATGAGCCCTGATATGTATTTTCTAAATGTTTCATTCTGTTTTCTTCAAACTTTAGATTAAATGATTCTGGGTGAAAAACAAAATTGAGTTGTTTTTCTCCCACTTTGCGCTCTCAGGAAAAGTTTAAGCTATGATGAATGAATCAAGTGACTAACTGTTAAGAAGCAGGACACCTCTTGACTGCCGCTGTGAACAGAGTATGCATGTCCATTTCAGAATAGCAGCTTAGTGTCTTATGTCACACACTATCAAAAATGTTTTCTTTGCTACTGTTGATTGCAGGAGACTCTAAAGCAGACAGACAGGAAGAGCTTCAGGGTAACAAGCTCTTTCTGGTTTTAGATGTACACCTCTGTCAGTGTTTTCTCAGAGTGGCAAACACGACAAAGCTCTGCAAAATCACAGAAGACACATGAATGTTCTGGAAGATGGTATGGCATGACATACTAGAGGTGGGGATTAATTTCACCTGTTGCAGAATAACCTGGTGTTTGTTACATGACAGAAAACCCTAATCCACAATAACCCACTGCCCTCTCCCTTTCTGAATCAGGTCCATAAAACAGACAGTGAGAGCAAGGCCCAAGACTTTCATAGATCCTGAGGACCCATAAACAGGAAGGTCAGCAGAAAAGTTGAAGGATAGACTTACACTTTGACAACATCTTTTCTTTTGGGAAAAAATTGACAGAGATAGTTGGAGAATATAAAAAAAAAAAAGCCTCTTGCAAAACAGATATACTAAGAAGCAAAAGAGAATTCTAAATTACTCAAATACTTTTAAGGAAATTCACAAGAGAATTCCATATATTAGTACATATTAGAGAAAGTTTTCTAAAAATAGCTAGAAAATTCAATTTTTAGAACAATATGAACAACAGATATTAGCTTTAGGCAGTGGGTTAGTTTTGGCATTTTCTTTCTCGTCTTCAAATGACCCCAGTTTTTCTATAATGAACATACAATTACAATAGTCTTTTAAAAACTTTTGTTAAACCCCTTCAATTCAAAACTTTAATTCTACTAGAGAGGATAAAACACTAAAATGAGAAGGAAGAGGAGGAGGAGAAGGAGGAGGAATAGGAGGAGGTCTTCTAGACAAAACCACACTGGACCTTTTCCAGTGACCAAAACACAATGTAACACCTGAGAAGTTCTTCTTTGCCCTATTTGTTCCTGGATAGTGTTCCCTGAATAGGTAGGGCAACTTGTATTTGTTAAAAGTCTGTGTTCCCACAGTTCTACTCTCCATTGAAGTACTAAGGTAACACATAGAAAAAAGGCTGGAGGAACCATATTTCTGCCAGGGGGCTGGAAAGTTTGCATTTCTGAGACATCTATTACTTCTTTGTAGAAATGACTCATGTACTTACAGAAAACTCAGATTTTTAAAAACACATTTCAGAAACTTTCTCAATAAATGTTTCCTTGCCAGAAAGCAACAGTACCCAGCATAATTTCAACATCACATATCACGAAAAGCAGACTGCTTGGGTGGGGAAGAGATTTTTCTCATTTCTTGATAAATCCCTTCAAGAGGCCAAGATAAGACTTCTCCATCACCTGTTCCTGAGTTACATATCCTGCTTCACCTGAGACTGTGCTCCCAGAATACAAAGATAAAAACTGCTTTCTCAACTATTATTTACATCATATTGATATGCTACCAGTTTTTCAGGTTGCTGCTATTGTGTTGAGAATTGCATTAACCTCTGGGTAGTCATATGTTATCCATGAGAAAGTTACTCAAGTATTGAAAAGTAGCACCAGGCAGCAACTTTACTCTTAACTAGAAGCACAGGTCTGATGGGTTACAGAAGCAAGCTGTGAGTGAGCACAGCTGCAATTCGGACTGGGACCTTCTCATTACTGATGAAACGTGAACCCTTCATCAGACACACAGCCAAAGGGGTAAGAACAAGGGGGACTCTAGAGCTAAGTGTCTGAGAGCCCTATAAAGCAGCCTGGCCCGTGAGGCATGCCTCCTGGCTTTTGCTTTAGCAAGCAGCTTCAGTTTGGTGTCTGCAAAGCAAGCGGCACAGTGGGAAGTATCAAATGCCTGCTTTGCACTCACAGACAAGGGAAAGCAAGCTATGGAGCCAAAAATGCAGTATCATCCTCCAGAGGGCAGTCCCAGGTACTGGGGTGTCCTCATGCCATGCCAGAGGCAAGGAGTATGACTGGGTGTCACTGACCCTCTGCTGCCGAGACAGGGATTTCCTGTGATGAACATGCCCAAACATACCAAGGATTAGAACATAGTATAATGCTTAGGTGTCTTTTCTAGTCTTTCCCAAGGAGCCAGAACTGTTTTCAGAACTGACTACTCTGAAAAAGTTTTCCTTAGCATTACACTGGGGACAAAGTTGGGCTTGACAGTCTTGGTTCTTTTCAAACCAAGGATCTGCCCAAGAGAGAGACCAAGAAGTCAGCTGGATTACTTCAGCCAGTGCAGATATCCACACAGTAGATGCTCATAAGGGTTACATGTGCCAACTTCTCAGAGCCTGGAAACAAGTCAGGCAGATGGCTACCCTGGGCTTTCAGAAAAGATTACGGAAGGCATAGCTTATGTAACCTGCACATCACACTTCTGAAACATGCTCCATCTTACACAGCTGACACCTTTTGAACAAAAATCATACAACTTTCCTCAGCCACTCTCTCCCTTCCTGCACAGGACTTATACAGCTGGGAAAGTTTGGTTAGTAACTTTTAGGAGGACGATACTGCATTTTTTTCAAAGAAAGACACTAATACAGACACACACAGATTGAAAAAAACCAACTTACCTCCTCAAAGGTCATAGACCAACTACCGTTTTCAACCATAGGTACAAAGACAATTGAAAAAAAAAAGGAATATCCAGTGAAATTGCACACCTATACTACTGTAGGAAACAGCAGTAACAGAAACAGACAACTTGTTAATATTCTCACTGTTTGTTCAGAATGTCATAGAGTGAAGTTCTCTCTGTGACTGCAAACATTCAATGGAAAAGTATACTTCAGGCAGCCAGTGGGCAAGTCTCAACTCAGGAAGACTCGGGCTTGAAAACTCCTCCCTCCTCACAATGTTATTTGCAGTTTGCATGACTTATGAAAATGAAAACGCCGTGTGTGGAAATATTAGTAACTACAGATGACTTGTTGGTTTTGTGTTAATGCTAGGTGGGAGGGACCGCCTCATAGGACAAGATCAGAAGCCTTGCAGAATAATTTATCTTTGAAATTGCTAAGTAGGGGAAAGCAAATGGAAAACTGTGCCTGGCTCCTGTTTATTTCTGGGGGTGAAGTTTTTGTGAAGCCATCTAAGGGATGGGTGAGGAGAAACCAAAGAAATGCTAACTGGCAAGGAAAAGAAAATGAACTCAGTTTTCAGGGAAAAAATGATGCAGAAGGCAGTGACTATGTAACCACCCAATATTTTGGGTGTGTTGTCTGCTGCTATGATGAATTCTTGGCACATGCTTTTAAAAATATTTAAGGGTCAGGAGAAAATATTTCTCTCATAGATCCAGTACAATTTTATTAGCAACAAAACCATTAACTCTTGAAAGTTTTATTTTGGACACTTTTTAAAATGCTTTTTTAAATTTTATTTTGTATGTGATCTGGCATTTTGCCTGCCTGTATGTCTGTGTGAGATCCTCTGGAACTGGAGTTACAAACAGTTGTGAGCTGCCATATGGGTGCTGGGAATTGAACTGGGAAGGGCAACCAGTGCTCATAACCACTAAGCCATCTCTCTAGCCCTTGGACATTTCTTTTAAAAGAGTTTATCATCACACTTAGATTTTTCAAAAGACACTTTTTTCATCTACAAAGATAAATGACTACAGATTTAATGCTTAGATATTTATTTCACCTATAAATGAAATCCAAGAGAAACCTATGGATATTGGAAACTACTTAATGTTTTCTTCCTTTTCTCATCACATTCAGTTTCATCTTTTTATGGAAATTTAAACATTTCAAGTGTCAAACTCAAAACAAAATTTATCAGAAATAACTATAAGTAGGAAAATCCACTGCAGTTCTTTACATATTAAGAACAAACAAATGGAACCCCTGCAAACTTAGATGACACGTCAGCAAAGAAGAATAAACATCTCAGCACCACAGGACACATTTCCATGCTACAATGAAGGTCCCTGTGCATAAGCAGCCATGGGCAAACAAAAACACAATACACCAGTCATCCAGATCTGGCCCACAAGCCACTGTGGCGTTCTACTCTAGCACACAGATAAATTGGGCTACGAAGTGAGTTCCCAGGCTAGCCTGTGTGAGTGTGAGACCCTGTTTTCAAAAATAACAAACAGAAAGTAAATAATTAGAGATGATATAGAAACGTATTCTCATATAGTT